GTCCCAGTTCTAACCCCGTGTGATGTTCTTGAAATGGGCCCCAAACATAATCCCAACCCTAATGTTGGGCCTACATGTCATCATTTTCCTAACCCTAACCCTAACCCTAACCCTAACCCTAACCCTAATGAACAACCCTAACCCTAGGGTTATTCTTAAAACTAGCCCTGTTTGTAAACATAACCCTTGTCCCAGTTCTAACCCCGTGTGATGTTCTTGAAATGGGCCCCAAACATAATCCCAACCCTAATGTTGGGCCTACATGTCATCATTTTCCTAACCCTAACCCTAACCCTAACCCTAACCCTAATGAACAACCCTAACCCTAGGGTTATTCTTAAAACTAGCCCTGTTTGTAAACATAACCCTTGTCCCAGTTCTAACCCCGTGTGATGTTCTTGAAATGGGCCCCAAACATAATCCCAACCCTAATGTTGGGCCTACATGTCATCATTTTCCTAACCCTAACCCTAACCCTAACCCTAACCCTAACCCTAATGAACAACCCTAACCCTAGGGTTATTCTTAAAACTAGCCCTGTTTGTAAACATAACCCTTGTCCCAGTTCTAACCCCGTGTGATGTTCTTGAAATGGGCCCCAAACATAATCCCAACCCTAATGTTGGGCCTACATGTCATCATTTTCCTAACCCTAACCCTAACCCTAACCCTAACCCTAATGAACAACCCTAACCCTAGGGTTATTCTTAAAACTAGCCCTGTTTGTAAACATAACCCTTGTCCCAGTTCTAACCCCGTGTGATGTTCTTGAAATGGGCCCCAAACATAATCCCAACCCTAATGTTGGGCCTACATGTCATCATTTTCCTAACCCTAACCCTAACCCTAACCCTAACCCTAATGAACAACCCTAACCCTAGGGTTATTCTTAAAACTAGCCCTGTTTGTAAACATAACCCTTGTCCCAGTTCTAACCCCGTGTGATGTTCTTGAAATGGGCCCCAAACATAATCCCAACCCTAATGTTGGGCCTACATGTCATCATTTTCCTAACCCTAACCCTAACCCTAACCCTAACCCTAATGAACAACCCTAACCCTAGGGTTATTCTTAAAACTAGCCCTGTTTGTAAACATAACCCTTGTCCCAGTTCTAACCCCGTGTGATGTTCTTGAAATGGGCCCCAAACATAATCCCAACCCTAATGTTGGGCCTACATGTCATCATTTTCCTAACCCTAACCCTAACCCTAACCCTAACCCTAATGAACAACCCTAACCCTAGGGTTATTCTTAAAACTAGCCCTGTTTGTAAACATAACCCTTGTCCCAGTTCTAACCCCGTGTGATGTTCTTGAAATGGGCCCCAAACATAATCCCAACCCTAATGTTGGGCCTACATGTCATCATTTTCTACCCTAACCCTAACCCTAACCCTAACCCTAACCCTAATGAACAACCCTAACCCTAGGGTTATTCTTAAAACTAGCCCTGTTTGTAAACATAACCCTTGTCCCAGTTCTAACCCCGTGTGATGTTCTTGAAATGGGCCCCAAACATAATCCCAACCCTAATGTTGGGCCTACATGTCATCATTTTCCTAACCCTAACCCTAACCCTAACCCTAACCCTAATGAACAACCCTAACCCTAGGGTTATTCTTAAAACTAGCCCTGTTGTAAACATAACCCTTGTCCCAGTTCTAACCCCGTGTGATGTTCTTGAAATGGGCCCCAAACATAATCCCAACCCTAATGTTGGGCCTACATGTCATCATTTTCCTAACCCTAACCCTAACCCTAACCCTAACCCTAATGAACAACCCTAACCCTAGGGTTATTCTTAAAACTAGCCCTGTTTGTAAACATAACCCTTGTCCCAGTTCTAACCCCGTGTGATGTTCTTGAAATGGGCCCCAAACATAATCCCAACCCTAATGTTGGGCCTACATGTCATCATTTTCCTAACCCTAACCCTAACCCTAACCCTAACCCTAATGAACAACCCTAACCCTAGGGTTATTCTTAAAACTAGCCCTGTTTGTAAACATAACCCTTGTCCCAGTTCTAACCCCGTGTGATGTTCTTGAAATGGGCCCCCAAACATAATCCCAACCCTAATGTTGGGCCTACATGTCATCATTTTCCTAACCCTAACCCTAACCCTAACCCTAACCCTAATGAACAACCCTAACCCTAGGGTTATTCTTAAAACTAGCCCTGTTTGTAAACATAACCCTTGTCCCAGTTCTAACCCCGTGTGATGTTCTTGAAATGGGCCCCAAACATAATCCCAACCCTAATGTTGGGCCTACATGTCATCATTTTCCTAACCCTAACCCTAAACCTAACCCTAATGAACAACCGTAACCCTATGGTTATTCTTAAAACTAGCCCTGTTTGTAAACATAACCCTTGTCCCAGTTCTAACCCCGTGTGATGTTCTTGAAATGGGCCCCAAACATAATCCCAACCCTAATGTTGGGCCTACATGTCATCATTTTCCTAACCCTAACCCTAACCCTAACCCTAACCCTAA